TTTCTAATGCGTATGAAACTATAAACTTAGTATTTTGACTTCACAAACATCTAATTTGAACCATTGCTGCATTCAACATATGAAGTAACACACAAAAATCGATGTTTATCTGTGTTTTTTTTATATATACTTTTAAATTAACAAGTTGAGTAATGTATAGTTCTAAAATTTGAATTATAATCTGCAGTTTGATAAAAACAAACTTATTGACATACATTCATGAAGTAGTAGTTCAATAAAATTTTGAATGCAAGTCAACAAACGAGATGACATGGCCTTTCACTAAATTGTGTGTGGCCCCCCAGTGGCACAGCAGTATGTCTGCGGACTTACAACCCTAGAATCCGGGTTTCGATACCCGTGGTGGGCAGAGCACAGATAGCCCATTGTGTAGCTTTGTGCTTAATTACAAACAAACAAACAAATTGTTTGTGTATGAATGAGAAGTTACTGTGAGTGTGCTTATATGTTTGCTTTTATTTACTAATGAAATTGTAGTTCTTTTTCTTGAACTTGTACATTTGTTAGTTTGGTCAATTTTAATGGAATACATACAAGTATGATAAAAATTTATGATTTTATAATTTTAATTTTTTTTAGCATTAAAACTTACTATATGACTATAGCTAGCTTGGTTACATATATATTGTTCCCTATTTGTCTTTATAAAATGAATTTTTTTATCATACAGGTTTGTTTCCTTTTTATTAGCTATATTTTTGTGCACCAGCAATACCAAGTATGGGGCTAGCACATACTCTATTAAATTTTATTACTCATCAGGATCTCTACCTACCTATCCTCAAATCTAATTATGTGCTCAAAGTAGCGCATCATCCATTTTATATATATATATATATATATATATACTAGTATCAGTACAAGAGGGATAAGATTTGTCTTTTTTACTGTATGCTTGTCTGGAAAAAGTCACCTAGATGGAAATTCATTGAAGTAGTGAAATTGTGATTCACTCCATAAACACGTATATAGTGATTTGGGAGGCTTTATAAATACAGTAAGCTTTAGTTTTGCTCAGTCAATACTGTGAACTAGTCATTGTTAATATTCAGACATTTTAAAGGTGGTTTTAAGCGGGTGATATTTATGGCCACCATTTTGTTTCATCACGATCCCTACTATTCAGTACTGTCACACTTAATGATATGTTTATTAGTTATTAAATAACTTCAGTTACGTTTGACTATCTTTTAAAATGCTTAAATGCATGGTATTTGTTTATGTTCATGCATACATGTGTGTCTATGAATATGTACCAGTATCTACTTATCTGGTAATCTGATATTATATAACTTACAAGATGAAAAATGAACAAGGAAGTATACTTTTTAATGTGAAATAAGTACCTCTCTTTATTTTAAGACATTTTTATCAGAAAATGAATTCTGGTATTTTAAAGACTGACAGGTATAACCTGAAATTGTTCATAAATAGTAAGAAAATATCTTAATCATTATTCATTTCTTTGTAAATTATATTTGCTAAAACTAAAACAAGCTAGATTATTCATAATTTTACACACTTTTGCTACAGCACCAGACATTATCAAATTTTTAAAGTAAATGATTTTTTATCATTCCAGATTCCTCCAGCTCCACCACGACCTGACTTTGATGCTTCAAGAGAAAAACTGCAAAAGCTTGGTGAAGGAGAAGGGGCAATGACAAAAGAAGAATTCAGTAAAATGAAACAAGAATTAGAAGCGTATGTATGCTTGATTTTAATTTCATTGCATTACCTTAATAATATTTATTACTTTTGTTTTTAAGATAGAACAATGGAAGAAGTTTTAAGAAAAACCAAATCCCATACATTATATGTACAAACTTAATATCAGAGATTGTAAACAATAGAAATGCTTAATAAGTAATGTGTTTGGTATTGGAAGAAAATACTAAGTAATATAAATTGTTTTCTCACTTCAGCGAATATTTGGCAACTTTTAAAAAAACTGTAGCCATGCATGAAGTGTTTCTCCAGAGGTTAGCTGCGCATCCAGTTTTCAAAATGGACCACAGTTTTGTAGTTTTCCTAGAGTATGACAAAGATGTAAGTTTGTATTTTTTTGTTACCCTTTTAAAGATTATTGCATTTCAACATCCCATGTTAGCAGATTAATAATATCTTGAACATATGAGAAGTGGTAATGGCAAATGTTATGGTTATTGTCTAAAATATGCTTTAGGTAGTGATTTTGATATCAAATTTATAAAGACAGAAAGCTAAACAGTTGAAAATTACTTCAGTGTTCTGACACATTTTGTATAAATCGTTTTTATATTATATTTATTTTCCATGTTTTATATTCAGAAACTGCAGTTTTCCACACAAAGAAAAATTTGAAATAGTATCTACCAAATTAATGTTTTTGATAAGCACACATTTAGGGGATTCTAAGCTTACTTTATTTTAGTGAAATGAAGATGATAATACTGTTGATGAGGATCAGCGTGTCTTTGTTTTTACTAACTGGATATAAGGAAGAAATTCAAAAGCATAAAAATGTAACTCGTACCTGAAGTGATCCTGGCATAGACCAGGTCCACTTCGGCATATAACGATATGAATAAAGTTAAGTAAATTGAGCTTGCACAAGTTGTAATGTATTTTATCACTAAGGTCATAAGCTCTGAAGTTGTAACTTGGTCAATAACTAATGTTGCTGACACAATTCAACATTACACAATATAACAATTTATCAGTAATAGTACTTAAACACATAGCATCAAAAAGTTCCTGTAAATATGAAATCAGCATCCTTTTTGATTGATATCTACTATAATAATAATACTGGATGTACGAATACTTTAGTAGACATTTTGTACAACAACATAATAAAAAGTTATCAAAGTTGTAGAATAATATTATAAGTTTAGTTATTGATAGTATTAAGTACAATAAAGGTTAGCCCTAACTAAACTAAAGCAAGAAATGTATGTGAGTTACAATGTTAATATAGGCTGTAGTTAATATTGGCTTAACCGATGTTAGGTTTAAGACAAATGAACTTATAGATTTTGTTGTCTGTGATTAGGATTCTCTTGTATTATTCTAAAAATCCTGTATTTAAAGAAGTACTGTTGCAGTAAAGATACTAATTCAGTTACATATGTTTTGCAGGTCTTTGCTAGTAATTACAGTATTGTAATTAAATAATGTTTGCTAACTAAGGAAAAAACACTTAAGTACAGTTATATATGCATATAAATCTGACAGTATAACATTCCAGTGTCATGTCATTTTTATAAACTTTATGCCAAAAAACTACAGTACTTTTCTAAGTCTCACTTTCCTTGATCCTTGCAAGGCACTTCTTTAGAGTACTAAGCAAAGTAAGCTAGGAAATGTACATTAATTTTAAAATGTTCACTAACAAGGTTTCGAATTTCCTACAGTTGTCTGTTCGTGGAAAGAACAAGAAGGAAAAAATTGTGGATCTTTTTAGTAACATTAAAGAATCAGCAGATGATATGTTATTGTCCACAACACAGAAGGTATGTGCTGAAGAAGTAATATACAATAAACCATTGAATAAAGTATAAATAAATAAATATAAATGTATGTTCAAAAGAAATCCATAGGTTAGAAATGTTTAAAGTCAATTTCAACATTAGTGTGATATGTGGTAACATAACACTTGTATTTTTTTCACACTTATGCTGTTGGTATGCCCACTAATTATGCATTTCTACCTCTTAAGAAGAAACCTTATCATGTAGTGAGTTTAGGCAAAGTGTATTGTACAAAATAGTTCACTATATTGTTACGTATTGAGAATTTAAAATAGTCTGAAGCCGATATTTTAGTTAATTTACGCTATTTGCCAACAAGATTGAAACACACCATCTTAATTTTTCACACAAATATGTTTATATATATACATATATATATATATATATATATACAACAGTACAATTTACAACAACAATTATTACGAATAGTTACCACAAGCAAAGTTTCATTAAACAAAAATTTCACTAACTTACAAACAACACAAAATCTTTCTAGTTCAGAGTCTCCTTGATACCCAGTGAGTTAACTTGAAGTCGAGGTACGTACAATTGTCGAGAAGCTATCTAGCTTTGTCAGACACTGAATTGTTGGACCGTCGAAGTAAGATAATATTTTCATAGAACCACTAATGTCCGATGAGAATTCAGTAATACTTTTAGAAGGATACTAACGTCCAATGAGAATCCACTGATGTTCAAACTTTATAACTGTTCCTGGTTAAATGTCATATATTTTCTGGTTGATAAGGGTTAGCAAAATCACGGTTTATAGCATACATGGTTATAACAGGTTCCTAACAGACTCTTTTTTTTTTGGCACGTCGCCTTGGCTGTTTTTATAGGCACTATATTTAACTGGTTATGGAAGTGGATATATTGTCGATTCTTACGTTCATGAATATTCTACAACCTTGGAGAATTGGCGGGAGTCTCGCAGTACATAACTACCACTGTAAGCTAGACACGTTTTTACATATAAACTCAATCCCAAATTAAATATATAACAAATTTGTTACACGCAATACATATCTGACACTATATTTTTAAATACAAATTTAATCTAAACAACATTCATATTAGAAATAAATACATAACAATAAATTTGTTACAATATTCATATTGGTCTCCAAATGAGTCAGCAGCCGTAGATAGTCTATTAACATAACAGTATTTAGAGACGACAAGTGACCTATTGGTCCATCAAGGCTCCCTCATTCTCTAAACTAAACTAAAACTATTAAATAAAAAAAAACCTGAAAGCCAGCCTTTATCATTCACATAGTTATCAAGCTTTCACTTAACCTCACATAAATTTACTGCATCCATAAAATCCAAAGGCAATCTGTTCCAAAGGCCAACCACCCAGTTAGAAAAATTAAACTGTCTTAGCTGAAGATGACTCCTACCCTGCCAAAATGTATATTTGTGCTCCCTAGTCCAACCGTTTTCACCATTAAGTATGAAAGAGATGATGCATCAACAATATCAATTCCCTTCAAAATCTTAAACACCTCAATGAGATCTCCTCTAACTCCTCTTTTTTCAAGAGAAAATTTCAGAGAACTTAACCTCTTGTATGATGATCCCTCCATTCCAGGCACCATTCTAGTAGTCATCCTCTGAACCTTTTCCAACAATTCAGTGTCCTTCGTAAAGATCCCAACACTGAACACGATACAAAATATATATATATCAAATATATATATATATATATATACATATACAAAACAAACTATTTATTAATAGAAATAGTATCCATT